ATAATAAATTACTAGATTTCAATTCTCCACCAAATGAAGTAATATTAATACAAGAATTAAATCACATACTAAAATCTCACAATATGAAACCCTAGTTTAGTTACATATAATATTCATCTATATGCAACCCTAGAATTTAAACAATATGCATACAATGTATATTAATCTCAAGAAATACATTAAAACACTAAGGGTATAAACATAAGTCACCCTCTACCTCACTAGAGAATTGTATCACTAGAAACCAAAGGAAAATGGAAGCAAAATGGAAATCCAAGACAAGGTGCATGTGGTAGACAAGGGTGAGGGGAAATTTTTGTCTTCCAAGTGCAAAACCAAAAGGTGAGGGGAAGGTGCTTGATTTCAAGGTATAAGGGCTAGGTTTTCAAGTCTTCCAGGGAAGCTTAGGTGAGAGCATAAAGAAGACAACCAATCTCTAGAATTTTCACTAACCTAAAAGGTTATAAAACAAATAAACCTATACTAACACCACCTTTCTCACATACACACACATCTTACCCTTCCACTTGTCATTATCCTAGGCCTTCTCACAAGATTAAATCACTAACCTACACTTGTCATCATCCTATGCTTCCAAGTGTTCTATCCAAAAGTTAACAAATGGTCCATGGAAAAGGTGACACTTGTCACACTTTTCAAAAATTACAAAATGGTCCCTCTTTTAAATATCTCACAAAAATAATTGCAAAAAGGTCCTTAAGATAAAATATCTCAAAAAGTTAATTACACAAAGCACCCCAAAAAATAAAAATATTTTCGAAGAAACTATACATTCATAACCCTAGAAAATGAAATTAAACATGTATACTTTTCTACTCAATTAATTTAGGTATTAACAATAAATTAAATTAAAGCGAATGCAGGCGATGTCGGAAAACATTTCCGAACTCAAAACCCTAAGGCAACAAGAAAAGGAATGAACAAAAAAATAAATAATTAAATACATAAAAAAAAAATTGAATGTTGTAAAAAAGGAAAAAGATGACACGGTCATCATATTTGCCAAACTCAGACTCTAAAATTCGTGCTGTCTTACAGCCCAGTTTTGACATAGTAAACTTCATTTCCACGAAATTTCCGTGAAATACAACATTGTAGAGTTTTGAATTTCCTTTCAACTGCATAAAATTTGAGCCCATTTTGACACTCACAGAAGGAGATACAACTGGATTACCAAAACAGGTTCAGTTTTCAAATCAAGAAAGAATTTCCTACTTGGAGAAGGATTCTTCCTTTTCTTCTTGTTTCTATTCTCATCAGCATGTGACTTCTTTTGGGCTCTTTTCCAAATCTAATTGAACTTGGATCTTCATCATTGCTTAGCTCAATGAATGTGATCTTCCCCTAATCTTTTGGATATCATCTTTAAAACACAAAACCTATGGTTTTAACTGACTTTATAATTAAGGGCCTGAAAATAAGAAAAATACTAAAACAACATAAAATCACAAATAAAACTATTACCAAGAGAATAAAATATGCAAGTTAAGGGCTCAAATGTATAACATTTTAGCACTTATCAACATTCAAAGTGAACATTGTAGATAATTGCATATACCTCATGTTCAGTGAGAGTCATTTTTATTTTCCTTGTCCTATATGTTGATGATATTTTGTTAGGTAGCAATGAAATTCATGTGATACATGATATTGAGAATTTCATGTAATGTTTTTTTGACATGAAGAACATGGGTATGATAAGCAAATAAAGAACATGTAATTGGACTTTCTCTAAAGGCTTAAACTAATTAAGTATTTGAAAAATAAAGAATTGACCAAGTATAATAAGCAAATAGACATAAAGTATATTTTCGTGTGTGAAAAAAAAAGAAGGAATGTACTATTAAGGTTCCCCATTTAGATATGAAAAATGATTGTAGAACCTCTCACTAAAGGTTTTCAACCGAAGATAATAAAGTATTTAAAGAGCACATGATTCGGATAGGTGTTTGAGAGTCATTATGATATAAGATCCATTATTATTTTTATATATGCTACATTGTAGTTAGTTTCTTTATGCTTTGTAGTGACAATTATTTTTCCTCCAGTTCACACCTTATGGTGACAGTTATTTCCATTCAAAATAAAGTTATGATGCATCATGAAGTTGTTGGGATAGATATGAGATTAACACCATATCGGTAAATTCAAACATAATTATTGAAGTTTGCTTGTGGGAGTATACATACTCCATGAGGATATCTTGGGCTAGATATGAGATTAGCTTCATATTGGTAGACCCTTACACTGAACAAAAGGTTGGCAGTTTGCTATAATATGTTTAGGTGACATATTGCAATGGTATAAAACATGACTGATAGTGAGGTGTGCGTTTAGACTACATGCAGTTTCACATCTCATGAAATGCAGTAACCATTATATTTGCTTGAATCATAGATGGAATCAGTTTTAAGACCATGGAACTGTTAAGACTAATATATTACTTGTCTACACATTTATGATCCACTATTGAGGAAGTCTATGGAGGAGAGTGTTCTAAAGTTTCAATCCATCTATTTCGATAATTCTATTTTTCTAAATCAAATTGAGTGGCCACTTGACTTTTCTAAAGTATGTTGCAATCCATAGTGTTATTTTTTTATAAAACTTAAGAGTGCATGGACCAAGTGTGAGATTGTTGGAAATTTTTATATATAAATAATAAAAATTATTTTATGGTCCTATGCACGACGATTTCTAAAATAGGATTGCAATGTGATTATTCATACTTGATAGATTGAGTTGTACTTTCCAATTTGGTAGTTTAATTGGGAGTATAACAATTTGATAGTTTAATTGGGAGTATGTTTTATACCATTGGATTATAGTTTTTCAACTTATTTGGTATGATAGGAAGGGATACTCAGGTATATTTGTTTGTAGAGAAGTCGTCCCCCTGTTGTTTTTATCCTATTAGACAACAACTCTCAGACGGGGTAAAACACTCTAATGTTTTGCAGGACCTCACTTACACGGATATTCTAAAGGTGCTATGTGGTTTAATCATCAATGTCTAAATTCTTATTTAATTATTTTAATATTCTTGATTTATGATTATTTGATTAACACCTAACAAGATAGGGTTACTAAAAAAAGGGAGAAAGTAGGCATATTTAGCGGTAAGAGAAGAGAAAATAGACTTGTATAAGTTTCTTCAAACATCTATAAATTATTAGATAAGAAGAGGTAGAATAATTTTGCATAAAAATGCCGGAGACAAGGAGGAAGATATTAAAAGTAAAATATGATCAAATCATTAAAAAAGATATTTAAATACTAAATATTATAAAAGAGGTGACTTTTAACACACACAAAAAATAATAAATAATAAATAAATAAATTGAAAAGAAAATAATAAAAAAGAGAGAAAATTTTATACGGGATTAAAACAAGAACATGGTGGATGACAGCTTTATCCAGAAAAAAATTAGAAACCCATGAGGCGAGGATGCTTTTCAGAAGAGCAGTGATAGGGGAACTGAAATGTATCCCTTGAATTAATCACCGAACTTGACATGGCTTGGCCACGTCAGATTCTCACTCCTCTTGCGTGAGGGAGCAAAAGAGCCTATTACGTGTAGGTAAAAGAAATAATTTTAAAAAAAGAGAGAGGTAGGAACGTGATTGTATATCGTGAAAAGGAATACCGAAAAATTCAGAAGTCTCCAAAATTATAGAGAACTTATCTTTTTCTTTTTTTTTAAGGAATCAACTTATCTTTATCTTGTTAAATCAAATTAAATCACGGTACTGGTTTGATTGCTCCAGGAGAAGAAAATTGATTTAAAACCTTAGATAGACCTTAGATAGAGAGAGAGCCAATCCTGAATCAAAGAGTGATGTTGCGACTACTCCCAAATTTTTGTGCGTGATTTGAATACAAGATGATTATGTAATTCTTAAATCAGATCATTGAGTAATACCTAAATCTATTGAGAAATTTGTAGAAAAAAATCTTTAAATATTTATAATCTATTACCAACATATATGTAATTGTGTGTGTGTGTGTATATATATATATATATATATATATTTGTATATATCCACCATCTTCCGGTCATCTTCATAGTGTCATTACCTCCCTTGTATTCTTCTTATACAATTTTTTTTTTTTTTAATTTATTTTTGGGGGTGACCTGAGCACGTAATGACTTTTTTAATCTTCAAGATGTTTTAGAGAATCTGACGTACCTTATTAGATTCGGTCGTTTTTTCGGAGGTTACCCTTTGGCCCCCATATCATTTTCCTTTTCAGAAACTAGAAAATGAGAGACCAATGTTAGCTGATGTGGACAACCATATGCACTTGTTAACATAGCCCTTGCATTTTATGTACATGAATATTGGGGAGAGACAGATCAGAAGGGAAGGGATGAACAGCCAAGATAGATTTTGGGATATTATTGTACATAAATAGACAACATTATTGATAAATATATTGCAGAAGACTAGGATGCTTTAATTAGCCCACCATTAATTCCACCGGCATTCCTAAATTTAGAAACACCAATCTTTTAACTCTCAAAATCCCTACTCTCACTCTGATTCATCCATTCATACCCAACTACCGAACTTACTTTCTAATCTCATCAGCAATAGACGAACGGCCGAGAAAAAACGAGAGAGAGAAAGAGAAAGAGGAGAGAGAAAACACAAAAGAAAACCAGAGAAAATAATCAATGCATGCATATCATCAAAAACACACCATCTCTTCCTGTCTGGTTCAAATGAATTGAACCTCCATGGACATCAAGCGATGGTTTAGTTTTAGTCCTCCATAAATTAGACCAGATAACAAAACCCAGAAAAAAAGACTTTCTTTTTTTTCTTTTCAGGCGTACAGGAGAACTTTAATTTCTCTAAGAGTCTCTATCTATCTATTCTTTGAGTCCTCCTATTGTTTTCCTGTACGCCAAACAAATTATTGTTTCTCTCAACGTTTGAGTATTCATAGACAGCAAGCCATAGCCATCTAAGCCATGCACACAAATACCCACATTTTGGTTTTTATCATATCTCTATTTCTTGCTTTCAATTCCTTCCATGCTGAGAGCTCCGACACGAAGCCCTTGATATTGAGCTGTGGCTCCAAGGATGGTGGAACAGATGGCGATGGCAGAAAATGGGAATCGGATTCGAAGTATCTTCCATCCTCAGATAAGTCAGTTTCAGCCAGAGCTCAATCTCAAGATCCTTCACTTCCTTCCGAAACTCCCTACATGACTGCTAGGATTTTCACCTCGGAGACCTCTTACCAATTCCCCGTCAACTCGTCCTCCCGTTACTGGCTTAGACTCCATTTCTACCCTTCTGCTTATAGCAATTTCAACGTCTCCAATTCCTACTTTTCTGTCGTGGCTGGAGGGATTACTTTGTTGAACAATTTCAGTGCTTCAATCACAGCAGAAGCTCTCACGCAGGCCTACACCGTCAGAGAGTTCTCCTTGGCTGATTTGAAATCGGATTCTCTGACTATCACCTTCAAGCCTTCTGACAAGTTTAGTGGTGCATTCGCTTTTGTCAATGGCATTGAGGTCATCCCGATGCCGGACTTATTTGATTCTGCAACTATGGTGGGGTTCTCGGACCAGTCTACGGACATCAAGGCTGCTAATTTTCAGACAATGTACAGATTGAATGTTGGTGGCAAATACATTCCTCCAACCAATGACTCCTCCGGCCTTACCAGGAGTTGGTATGATGATTCACCATATCTCTCCGGCGCTCAGTTTGGTGTCACCTCTGAGGCACCTAGTAATGTCACAATCAAGTACAATGATGTGCCGGAGTCAATTGCTCCGCTTGATGTGTACAGAACTTCGAGATCAATGGGTCCGAATCCCAACATCACCATGAACTATAACCTCACATGGATTTTCCATGTTGATGCCAATTTCACATACATTGTGAGGATGCATTTCTGTGAGTATCAATTGCACAAGGAAAATCAGAGGGTGTTTGATATATACATCAACAACAACACGGCGATGCCTAGTGCTGATGTGATAGCGTGGGCACAAGGATCAGAGTCTGTGCCAGTGTACAAAGATTACTCTATATATGTTAACGATCAACCTGGAGATGAGGAGCTCTGGGTGGCTCTTCATCCTTCTGTCTCAGCCAAGCCTGAGTACTATGATGCAATTCTCAATGGGTTGGAGGTTTTCAAGGTTAGTGACGCCAATTCCAATTTGGCAGGACCTAATCCCACTGTGTCGGACTTGAAGAAGAAGCAACTGGATGAGGGGGATAAGAGTTTTGCTCCCAAGAAGTCATATGTCAGCGCGATAATCGGTGGAGCTGCTGGTGGAGCTGCTGCATTTGGTTTAGCAGCTGCAGTGTGCATTGTATTGCACAAAAGGAAGAGGAAACTCCCCAATGGTTCCGAGTCGCGCACCTCTAGTTGGCTGCCAATTTATGGCAACTCCCATACTTCAGCAAGCAAATCAACAATCTCGGGAGCTAGTCATTGCAGTGCAGCAATATCATCTGATGCTGCCAGCAACTGTCGCTACTTCTCCTTGGCGGAGATACGGCATGCCACCAAGAATTTCGACGAGTCTAACGTGATTGGGGTTGGTGGATTTGGGAAGGTGTATAAAGGTGTGGTAGATGGAGATGTGAAAGTGGCTATCAAACGATCAAACCCGTCCTCGGAGCAAGGAGTTAATGAGTTCCAGACCGAAATTGAGATGCTTTCCAAGTTAAGGCACAGGCATTTGGTTTCTCTGATTGGTTTCTGTGAAGAAAATAGTGAAATGATCTTGGTTTATGACTACATGGGACATGGAACTCTGAGGGAGCATCTCTACAAGGGTAACAAAATTACTCTGTCTTGGAAGCAGAGGTTGGAGATTTGTATTGGAGCAGCTAGGGGACTTCACTACCTGCACACCGGGGCCAAGTACACCATCATTCACAGGGATGTCAAGACCACAAACATTCTCTTGGATGAGAAGTGGGTTGCCAAGGTTTCCGATTTTGGGCTCTCGAAAACAGGTCCCAACATGAATCAAGGCCATGTCAGTACTGTGGTGAAGGGTAGCTTTGGTTACTTGGATCCTGAATATTTCAGGAGGCAACAGCTGACTGAGAAGTCCGATGTGTACTCATTTGGGGTTGTTCTTTTCGAGGTCTTGTGCGCCAGGCCAGCTCTCAATCCTAGCCTCCCCAAGGAACAAGTTAGTCTTGCTGATTGGGCTCTGAATTGCCAAAGGAGAGGCGCGCTGGAGGACAACATTGATCCCCAACTCAAGGGAAAGATAAACTCTGAGTGCTTGAAGAAATTCTCCGAGACAGCTGAGAAGTGCTTGGCTGATCACGGGGTTGATCGTCCCTCCATGGGCGATGTGCTGTGGAATCTTGAGTTTGCTCTCCAAATGCAAGAGAATCCAGATGGCAGCACAAAACCAACTAATTCGGGAAGCAGTATCGAGTATGAGCATTTCGAAGAAATGGATCACAACAGTTTCTTGGCAATGCATCGAAACACCCTAAGCCTCGGAAGTGATAATGATACAACTGAGAAATCAGATGATAACACTGCTGATATCTTCTCACAGATTGTCAACCAAAAGGGAAGGTGATGATGATCAGTTTCTAGATCTGTGCCAATCACTGGTCTGTCATTGAGTTTCAGTATACTACATTTACTCTCTGTACTGTGTGTTGGTTGGGTCTTTCAATCTTCTCTTCTTAAATTTTTAGTATCATTTATGGGATGACCATCCAAGCTAAATAGAAACTTGTACTCTTACGTAAGGAGTCCAGAGAAAGAGTATACTTCAGCTCCTACTATTATATATAATTATGTAATTCTTTAACACATTTAGCAATTCTTTTCCTTCTGGTATAGTTTTGATGTTATAATGTCCACAGCGAAAAAAAAAAAGAAGCCAAATCTTCTTGTTAGAATCTTCATTTTCATTTTACCAAGGCTCAAATTCTCAAGAACATATTGTTGCTTGCATTGATCTGTGTTTCTAGTTGGCCCTATGCACATTATATGGATGCAGGTCAATGCTTGCTTTTCCTATTCGCTTTCGCTGCAGTTATCCGACTTCTGGATTTTCAAATGTTCATTAAAAAAAGAAAAAGAAAAGAAAAAAAAGATGATGCAGAGAAGGAAGTATATTGAAGAGAATTAGAATGACCCTTTATCAAGGGCGGATCCAACATTTCTGAATGGGGTGGGCTAACTTTGGACTGGCTAATTTGGGATGGGCTACCATTACTATATATATATATATATTTATTTATTTATTTTTTATTTTTTGGGCTGGGCTTAAAGTAGTATGGTAAAAAAAAAAAAAAAAAATTTTTTTTGGGGTGGGCTTAAGCCCACTTTCGCCCACCCTTGGATCTGCCTTCGCCCTTTATCCGTGGAACTCATGGTGTCATGATGAAAAAGAGCCGTTTAGTTTCTTTTGAGTTTTGACATAGTTTGCATTTTGGCCATACAGCGAGAAAGCAATTTGAAAAGGGACAAAAGGTTCAAATAATTTTTTTTTTCGTTGACGAAGTTAAAGCAGAGAGAGAAATATATGATTGTATATTAAATATATGATAATGAATACAGCCGGGTTTACATAGGACATGTTATGTGTAGTGAATAAGTAAATCATATATGGTAGCTAAAGACGGCTAACACTAATCCTAGTATACAATATATTCTACCAGCCCCTTCAAAGTCAGGGTTATATGAAGTCATCTTGAGTTTGGAAACAAGATTCTTGAAGCAATTTGGTGAAGATATCTCCTATCTGATCATAAGAAGTAATGGATTGCAATTGTAAAGTCTTTTGAAGAAGATGATAATGAACAAAATGGCAATTAATCTCAATGTGTTTGGTGCGCTTGTAAAATACATCATTGTGTGCAATTTGGATTGCAATCATATTATCACAATAAATAGGAGTGGCAGTGGATGAAGAAACTCTCATATCCTGAAGGAGGCAATGCAACAACATAAGTGATGTATGTATTATCAATGATAAAACCACTCGCAATATAACGAATACTTGGAGAATAGGGCTATGTTGAGGGTGTCGAACCTCAGAGACTGTGGTGAATTGTTAAGTATAAAATTAACCTTTATTTGATTCAAGAGAAAGAAGATTTGGTGTTTTCTATTTCTAAATTGCAATATAACTGAAAATAAACTAACTTGACAAAGGTGTAGATCAAAGTGAGAATAATTTAGGGATTGACTTCACTACTAACCTCATAACATGGTCAACTGTCTCAACTATGGAGAATTCACATTTACGCATATTTGGAAATCAAGTGGTTAAAAGCGCACTTCAATTCAATTAAAAAGGTATATATGAATAAGCACTACGCCATAACTCATCTTCAGTTGTCACGAATTGTTTACCTAACTACTCTAATTTATCATGCAATACAACTTGTTTCCCAAGGCATAAATTATCAAAACATTCATTCGTATAGTCATTTAAGCACTGACATGTCTCGTGAGAGGTCGCTTAATATGAATGTGGTTTCGGAAGCTATGGAAAGTAAATTTTATATTTATAAACCACTACTACTATATAACATAGTGAGTAGGGATCATCCAAATGAACTAGCGGCTTGATTCAATTTACAATTAGTGAAAAATTGATTCAATAGAAAAGAGAGAGTGTTTAAAATCCTAATTAACAACTAACTAAACAAAAATAATGCAAATAAAAAGAAAAGATAAAGGGATAATGGAATGAAGATATCGAGATACTTATGTCATGACTTCACCTTTGGCATTGTAATTGTACCATTACAATCAAATTGGGGAAAATACTTCGCAATAAAAGAATTGTGGTTACAAGCACACAGTCATGTTCAAGAGAATATGTAAATTGGATCAACAAGCATAACTGATCAAAGCTAAACATAAATTGTTTACCTAATTACTTTTACAATAGTGTTGTAGCACAACCCATCAAATTTAAGCATGAACTATCAAAATTAAGGCAAATACATTAATTAAGCACCATTGTTAACCATCACTTACACAACTACAAGAAGTGGAGATGTTGAGATCAATCAACCACAATCAATGCATAAGAAAATGTAAAGATCATAAAAAGATTAATGGAAGAATTACTTGTGGGAGCATGGATGAGTTGCCAAAGCATAAATTAATGCTATGTGATTTATATATATAAAATCATTCACCGGAGGATATTAGAATTGGGATTAAAGAAAAATATTATTTGATTTGATAATTAAACATTTAATGGTTAATTAATCGTATAAAAATGGAATTAAGGTTTAAAGGAGTTTCTCTTAAAAAGGAATGTACTTGATGTAGGGGTGCAACTTGGGTTGGGTAACCCGAGCCAACCCGAGCCCAGCCTGATTTTTCATCGTCTTGGGCAATTATTTTTACAATTATGGTTGGTTTAGGGTTGAAAAATCTCAACCAGAATTTAATTAGGGTTGGGCTTGGGTTGAAGTGCTAGCAACCCGAGCCAACCCGAATTCGAATTTTAATATTATTTTCATATATGTTTTTACTTTTAAATACATTATATAGAATATTTAAACAATGATTACTTTTTCTCTTTTCAATTATTTTGTTAAATATTAACTTATTGTATGTTTAACATATAGGAGAATTAATTTTCTAAAAATTTGTTTGCAATTTATTAAAAATCTATAAAAAAGTCTTTAAACTTCTTCCTGTTTAAGAGTAATTTAATCTAAAACTAATTCAAGATTATATTAAATTTTTGGTATAAAGATTAGTTATATGAGTAACCCGAATTAATCTAAAGTTTTAATCTGGAATCTAAACTCGAGTTGCAAGCCCAAATTTAAAAGTAGAAGGATGGGTTGGGCTTGGGTTGAGTACTTAAGGTTGAGAATAGGGTTAGGTTTAGGGTTAGGGTTGGGCTTGGGTTTAGCATTTCATGTGGTGGGTTGGGCTCAAATTATACCTCAAATCTGCCCAACCCGCCCGAGTTGTAGCCCTAACTTGATGGTTGGTGATGAGTGTTGAAAAGTGCGCATTTAAACCCCTTAAGCTCGAGTATTCTAGAACCTTTATCTATCTTATTTTCCCGTTTTAGATTAATTTCATGTTATTGCCCTTTCCAGGTATTTATCCCCAAAATAAGTCAATTCAGCCAAATTAGAGCATAAAAGAAGCTATCTCAAGTTGAATGGAAGAAAGAAGCAAAAAGGAGCAAAGTGGTGGAAAAACAGCAAGTTTTGATCGATCAGACATACCTTCGATCGATCTTACAGTGATCGATCTAGCCTCACCAAGATAGATCAAACCCCTTGTCCTTATCCTCTTGAATTTCTATTTTCGATCGATCTAACTTTCATTTCAATCGATCGAAGTTCTTTGATCTTATCCCCACCGACCACTTTTGTCTTTTTCCTAAAATATCCCAAAAATATCTCGCATTTGTCCTATTCCGAAAAGGCGCCACCAAGGTTTGATTGATCCGGTCAAACTTTGATCGATCTGTCCATTCTTCGATCGATCTCATCAGAATTCGATCGATCGAACCTCCTCAAATCCGAAATAAAACAGAGTCCAGCTCATTAAAAGATAGCTTGTGGTGCAATCATTGAAGTGGCCCGAGTGCACGAGACCTGACCATTGGGTGTGACACTTGAGCTACCTATATAAGGATTTTGAGCCATTTTTATATCGTGTAAAGGGGGAGCATAGAGGATCATATATCATCATACACAAGAGAAGAGGAGAGAGCCTAGAGATCAAAGAGACATACACTGGGAGTTCTTCCATTCATCTAGGGTTTCCATCAAGGAGAAGTTACTTCCTACCATGGAGATGCCCTTAAGGATTGGATAACTACATCAATGAGTGGCTAAACATCTTCTTGGGGCTAGAGTTAGCCCTAAGCATGCCTTTTAGATCTTGATGTTTTGTATTTTGAGGGGATTTGTGTTGTAATCTTGTCTTGACATTTGATTTATATATGAATCTTGTTTTTACAATGATTTGTGTTGTTAATACTTCCAATTGATCATTTCATTCTATTCATATGTCTATGTATGCTAGAATAGATGTTCATGTGTTTATCTCTTGGTTTTGTGATATTGATGGATGTCTATATGTGTTGATGCTATGAATCTAGAGATTGTCAAGGCATAGTGCTTAAATAAAATACTCTTGTGATTTGTTTGATGATTCATACTCATTTCTTGATGGATTGTGCCTCTACCTTAGTTTAGTGAGTTTAATTTTCATGCCTCTAGCTTAGTTGTAGTGTAGTTACCTTATTTTCCTAGATGTAAGGACAATCCATGCTTGTTATTTGATGTTCCATACTTATGAATGCAAGTAGTATAATTCTCTAACTTGTTAATGTGTTGATTGTGAGCTTAAAGGAAGGAATAATGGCTTAGTTAGATATATTGTGCTATTCACTAGGTTATCTAGACAATGTATACTTAATTAGTCAATTCATGCTTGTTGATTCAATCATTCACACCTCCTTGTATTGCAACACATATTTCCCTTCATTCATAACACATTGAGTGTCTAGAATGGTGATGTTTAGTGGTGACCTCTAAATCCCAAGATCCCTCACTCTTATTCTCTACCCTTTGTTTACTTTAGTTGCTTTGTATTGAATTTATTTACATTGTAGTCTAATTAACCAATTAAACCATCTTTTGATCACTTGACCTACTAATCCGACCTTGTTTCCATTTCAAACATGCATCTAATCCCTTGGGACGATTCCTACTCACCCTAGCTTTTTTAATAGTTAGAGCTAGTAGTGGCACCTTATAAATTTAAACTTGGCCACACTTTTGTATGCAATTTGGGG